CTGTCCCTGTTCCACCAATGTACATTAGATGTGTAGCACATGGCTTGTCTTTTTAGTTTATAGTTCTCTAGCTCACGCCACATCTGAAACTGGTATAGGAACTACTGTGCATCACTCAGATTCTTTAATTTGAACTTGACGTTGTGACTATAGGGAACTCTTGGGTTGTTTCCTTTGGTGGGGGGGAACATATAGTGAATATATTCCACCTGCCGAGGAATAGTGAGCTGGGAGATAATACTGACTAGCAGGGTCATTAGTAGTCCTCATTAATGTTCCCCCAATATTTCTGCCCTTGTCTTCCAAGCACATGATAGAATCGTACTTCCTGACATCCTTGTGGTTGGATGGGGCCATGTAATTAGTTCCAGCCAATGAGCTGTGAGTAGAAGTGACTTGTGTCATTTCTAGGTTGGAGCGTTTAAGCACAGGTTCAAAAACCTCCAAAGCCCTCTTTTTCCTTCTGCCACAGTGACCAGCAATGCTCCAAATGGAACTGTTCATTAGTGTAGGTCCTGGAGTGAGGATGCCACGGAGTAGAGCTCTCAACTGGTTCCTGATGACCATGTAGTGTACATGAGAAAAAAACCTTTGTTGTCTTAAGCTACTGTGACGTAGGGTTTTTTGCTAACTTTGCCTATCCTGACTGATACATTGCTTACAGCCCCTACTGGGTGCCAGGCATTGACTAAGATCTCATCACTACCTACCTCAGATAACATACACAAGATGAAAGGGGGGATGCATATAAACAAATAATATTTCATGGTTTTATTATAGAATAATGTGTATAGGACAGTGGCTATGTAAAGTTATTTACGGCAGGAGATGGATGTTAAGGAAAAGCTTCTTAGAGGATCTGAATTTTATTTTATTTAATTTTTAATCTTTTTATTTTGGCCAAACCATGTGGCTTGCAGGATTTTAGTTCCCTGACCAGGGACTGAATCTGGCCCACGGCAGTGAAAGCGCCGAGTCCCAGCCACTGGACTGCCAGGGAATTCCCAGAGGATCTGAATTTTTAAAAATGAATAGGCTATCAAGTTAGGAAAAAGATTCCCAGTAGAGCAAACAGTGTGAGGAAGGGCATGGAGATGAAACTAAGCACAACATATTTAGAAAACTGCATGTATTTAAATATTTTAAAATATATATTAATTATTAGCTTGAAACCTTAACTCTAGTGCTATCTCGTGGAATGGAAGGAAAGGAAGGAAATACTTCAAGTGTATGCTGTGTGATGCTTTCTGGGTTTGAAGGGCTGCACTGCTAAAGCTTAAGGTAGGTATCAGAAGATTAAGGACTGGAAGATATGATCTAGTTTAGCACTGTCCAGTAAAGATATAACGCAAGCCACATATATTATTTAAAATTGTCTAGTGGTCGTCACATTGAAAAGAAAAATAGGAAAAGGTATTTTAAACAAATTTTAGTTAACCCAATATATTAAAAATATTTCAATATGTAATCAACATAAAAAGTTATTAATGAGATGTCTTACATTCTTTTATTTTTGTACTAAGTGTGTATTTGTACTGGTGAGTATTTTATACTTACAACACTTCTGCATTTCAATTAGCCACATTTCAAGTGCTCAGTAATCACATGTGGCTAGTGGCTAGTGTATTGGACGGCGTCTTTTCATTTTACTACAGAGGAAACAGAAGGAAACTAAATGACTTAGACAATATCACTGAATTAATTGGTGGTCCATATTTCCAGTATGCAGCTCTTTTGTCTATAGCACGATTTTTTTTTCTTTTTCAAGGATTCCTCAAAATTCAGTACAGCAAAATAGGTCAACAGTGAGCTTTTTCACCCCTGAGGTAATTCTTATGTGGGCACGTGTGAGATTTTGTTTCTAAGCAAACTTCCTGTAACAAAATTAAAATTATAAAATGGCTATAACTTACGATGTTTATTTTACATGCTGCTTTGCTCATAGAATATCAGTAATGCCAACAAACTTGATTTGCTTTAGATGGCAAACATATGCCAACTTAACTCATAATTCATCACTTGAGTGCTGTCTTTATTACTGTTTCTTTATTTTTTTATTACCCTTTTCTCCTAGACCTTGTCCGTACACATCATGCATATCTATACTGTAAAAGTATGAGGTCAATTTGGACTCCTTTTCCCCTTTTGCTTAATATGAAATGCAGAATTAAATAATTGATAAAAGCAGGTAGTTTTATGTAATCTGAGGAATTCCAAATTGGAGAACATTATATTCATAAGACTTATTAGAATTAGAATATTTATGTAAGAAGGGGTAGGAAAAGTTAAATGCACTATATTGGCATAAATATGTAGAAACATTGTCTAAAAGGATAAACGAGAGATGACAGCAATGGCTTCATTTTGGGAGAAAGATGGGAACTGAGCCAATGACAGGGGTGGGAAGGAGACTTTTTGTCTCCCTTTTGATACTTTTTGATGTTTGTATGTGTGAATGTGTTACTTGTTCAAAATTTTATTTTTAAAAATGCCTATAATCAATCTTTTCCTTTTATAATGTCTATTTTAAAAAGCCTTCTGGACTTTTTAAATAAATTTATTTATTCCTTTTATTTTTGGCTGCGTTGGGTCTTCGTTGCTGCACGTGGGCTTTCTCTAGTTGCAGTGAGCGGGGGCTACTCTTCGTTGTGGTGCACGTGCTTCTCACTGCAGTGACTTCTCTTGTTGCGGAGCACAGGCTCTAGGCGCGTGGGCTTCAGTAGTTGTGGCACGCGGGCTCAGTAGTTGTGGCTTGTGGGCTCTGGAACGCAGGCTCAGTAGTCGTGGCACACGGGCTTAGTTGCTCTGCGGCATGTGGGATCTTCCCGGATGAAGGATCGAACCCCTGACCCCTGCATTGGCAGGCAGATTCTTAAGCACTGCGCCACCAGGGAAGTCCCGGCCTTCTGGAATTTCGATTGGGATTTTATTGAATCTACAGATCAATTTGGGGTGAATTGTCATCTTAATATTGAATCTTCCGGTTCATGAACATGATATATCTCTCCTTCTGTGGTGTTGATAAGGAATTTTGTGTCTATGTTCACAAGTAATGCTGGTCTGAGGTCTGTTGCTTTCTTTTCTTGCATTGTCTTTATCTGGTTTTGGTAATGCTGGATTCATAAAACAAGTTGAGAACTATTTCCTACTCTGTTTCCTGAGTTTGTATTACATTGACATTATTCCTTAAATGTTTGATAGGCTCCTCCAGTGAAGCTCTGTGGGCCTAGAGTTTTATTTGTGGTGCGATAACAAATTCAGTATCGTTGATGGATGCATATATTTGATTTTTCCTAAATCAGTTTTTTAAAAGTCAGTCAAAGGGGCTTCCCTGGTGGCGCAGTGGTTAAGAATCCACCCTGCCAATGCAGGAGACACGGGTTCGAGCCCTGGTCCGGGAAGATCCCACATGCCACGGAGCAACTAAGCCCGTGCTCCACAACTACTGAGCCTGCGCTCCAGAGCCCATGAATCACAGCTACTGAGCCCACGCACCACATCTACTGAAGCCCACGCACTCTGGAGCCCATGCTCCGCAACAAGAGAAGCCACCACAATGAGAAGCCTGTGCACTGCAATGAAGAGTAGCCCCTGCTAGCCGCAACTAGAGAAAGCCTGCGTGCAGCAACAAAGACCCAACACAGCCAAAAAATAATAAATAAAAATAAATTTTAAAAATATAATAAATAAATAAAAGTCAAAGTTTTTTCTAAGTCAGTTTTAGTAATTTCTATGTGATGCCATTTGTATAGCATATCTAAGTTGCCAAATTTTTTTTTTTTTTTTGCGGTACACGGGCCTTTCACTGTTGTGGCCTCTCCCGTTGCGGAGCGCAGGCTCAGCAGCCATGGCTCACGGGCCCAGCCGCTCCGCTGCATGTGGGATCTTCCCGGACCGGGTCACGAACCCGTGTCCCCTGCATCGGCAGGCGGCCTCTCAACCACTGCGCCACCAGGGAAGCCCTATATTATTAAATTTTTAACAATGGCTGTGTTTAACAACTGGCTCGTTAAAATTCCTGAAGATTTAACAGTTGGTTCTCATGGTCTTTTTTGTGATGCTCCAGCATACACTGTATCACACTTCCTCATTTGCTCACAGTTTCCAAATAAATAAACCTCTTTGGTTTGTTAATAGCCTGGTGTTAAAAAAAAAGAAAAAAAACAAAAAAGAAAATTATCCCATGAGATGGGGGAGGGAAGATTGGGCTGAACTGTGGGCCCCATCCTGAGCTCTCCTGGCCCAGTGAGGGCCTGACATCAGGCGAACAGGTCACATTTACAGAGAAAATGTTTGTGAGAGGCTTCGCCCTGAGTGGGGAGGATTGAAGGCTGTGGGTTTCCCGATAGCCTCCCTTGCTGCTGTGCAGCTCGCAGTCTGGCCATAATCTTGGGAGAATTGTTTTCCTTGTGTGTGGGGAGATTGACTGAAAATTGGAGCAGGCTGGACTTCCCTGGTGGCGCAGTGGTTGAGAGTCTGCCTGCCGATGCAGGGGATATGGGTTCGTGCCCTGGTCTGGGAAGACCCCACGTGCCGTGGAGCAGCTAGGCCCGTGAGCCATGGCCGCTGAGCCTGCGCGTCCGGAGCCTGTGCTTCGCAACGGGAGAGGCCACAACAGTGAGAGGCCCGTGTACCGCAAAAAAAAACAAAAACAAAATGGAGCAGGCTACATTATTGCTAGTTTGTAGTGAGTAGGAAAGGGGAGAAAAACACCCTGCTCACTCCCCAGTCCTTCCTTGCCTCTTCTTTTTTTTCCCCTTTCCTGTTGTTACCCGTCACATTCCCTGATGTCATTCCTGCCATTGTGAGCCGACAGGCCCTTGCCAGCCTGGGGGACAGCCAGTAAGTCAGGAGGGGAGGTGGAGATGTGGAGGTGGGGGAGTGGTGGTCACACCAACACCGTGGAGCTGGGCTGGGTCTGAGTGGAGCCCCAGGGATGTTCGCCAGCCCATCCTTCCCAAGAACCAATGAGTAAAATTAGGAGCCTCCCACCTGAGGTCATGGAACCAGGCCCTGGAGTGGAACTTGGGGTGGAAGACGGCCTCCTCTGTCAACTGATTCATTCTCCAGAATTCAACTTGTTCTCTGACTCGGTGGTGTTTGAAAGCAACTTTATCCAGGTACCCTTGTGCAGCTCAGGGCCAGCTCTCCTTCCCTTTCCAAACCTGTTCCCGGGGATTGGTCCAAAGATGCCAAGGCCTTTGAAAGCCCTGGGGAGGAGGAAGAAGCCAGGAAAGCCAGAGAAACGAGAGGGTCTGGGTCCCAAGTTCACCTCAGTTTGTGCCCACAGCATCACGGGACTCCCTGCAGGTCAAATGCTTTCGGGAAATAGAGTTACACCTGCAGAAGGAGACAGCAGAACCCACTCTCCAGGCAGGTTCATAGGCACCCTCCCGGGGCCGCTAGTCCGCGCTGGCTGATTAGAGGGGATGAAAGCAGCTGTAGGAATCCGTGCTCTGAAACCCAACCTTCTTTCTGGGATATTATTATACAAATACGCTTGCATGAGACCAAGGTCCCTGGATAAATTAGCCTTGCCCAGATTCCACCATCCCCCAGAAGAGTAGTAATATGACCTATGGAAGTGAGTGTTTGTGGCCTGGGAAGCATGGAGACACCAGGAGTGCAGGGCGGTCATTTCAATCCGTGTGACATCTCACCAAGGTGCTACCCGCTTCCCTCCAGTGGTCTGGCTGGTGACCACCTGTGCTCCGTTGCAGGTATGGCATAACCAGTCAGCAAGCTGTGTGAGAGGCAGGAGATGCAAAGAGAGATCAGATAGTGTCCCTGGAAAGAAGCTTGTGAATTGGTAGGTTTAAAGGACATAGTATAAAATGGTAGCTGTTAAGAAAGCTCGGCGTCAGAGGGTTTGGACTAGCCGAACCCCAGAGCATGCGCAGAGCACTCCTTCAACCTGGGCAGTTGTGGAAGGCTTCCCAGAAGGCGGGGTCGTAAGCCGTTCTTTCAGGTCTTGCTGAGACTTCGGTAGAAGAGCAGGGGGAGGACCTTCCAGGCGAGAGGGACTTCAAGTTCCTGGGTGAAGGCAGGAGGCTGGAATGCACGGGAGGGTCTGCAGTCAGGAATCCATGCGGTGGAGTTGAATTCACAGAGCAGCGAGCTACTCTCTGACGAGGTCCCCCAAAGGTTCATGGCTCCAGGTGCCCTCTGGTCCCTGCACCGCCCCAGGGAGCTGCAGAGCTGGGCGATCAGCTGGCAGCATGGGGGGCGTGGGGGGGGGGTGTGCTCATGCCTAACACACACTCAGAGGAGAGTTAGCAGTATCGTGGGAAATCCAGACTCAAGATATCAAATTCTAGTCATGTCCTTGGGTGTGAGATTATGGCAGCAGGTTTATTCTCCTAATATGTTCTCTTTGGCCTAGTATTAAAACTATTTAGATTCTCTGGATGGACGCTAGGTGACTCAGGCAGCAAGAGACTCAGACTGTGCCAGGGAGGGGGAAAGACTGCCTGTGAAGCTGGCCCTCGGCAGAGCTAAAAGCGGCCTTGAACTTATGCTGTTCCCTCCCTTCCCTCCCCTCAGCATCACCGTCACTAACGTCACCGCCAAGAAACCTCACCCGCAAACATTTACTTATTACTCTCAGTGTGTGTGGCCCTCTGTGTTTTGTAGCGCATATGAATTTCATTCCACAACATGGGCTCCAAGAAATGTTCCTCTTTTTTTTTTTCAAAAATCAAAATTCACTTTTCTTGGGGCACCATCTACTCAGGCTTGTGGGAACTAACATTTCAGTCATTCCTGGGGCTTTCGCCTGGTCCCCAGTTCCACCACGGGCTGTGAATGGCCCCGATGGTCTTACAAAGCCTAGGATATCGGGAGAAGGCCCTCTGGTCTTGGGAACGTAGGGGTCATTCCTCAGGTGTTCCTTACCCTGGTCCCTGTGGTTCCTTAGAGGCCACAGACCTGGTGCTTCTCTGCCAGCCCTGGAGAGTGAGGTAGGGGTGTCTTAGCTGAGACACTGTGCCCCACTGCCAGGCATCCATCTCCCTGTCCTGCCACAGCCCCGAGTGCTGCAAGAGAACAGGTCCTTATTACACTCAAGACCCAGCAACAAGCCCGGCACTCCCTCGTCTTGGGAGAAGCTCCCCAAACCTCCCTCAAGATGGGCTGCCTGGGTCTTCTCCGTTCAACAGCTCTTTCCTCACTCTCCTCCCCTTCTGGAACTTTCTTCTCACAATGTCCCTTCCAGACCATTAGAAACCTGTGCTGGAGCTTCCCTGGTGGCGCAGTGGATAGGAGTCTGCCTGCCAATGCAGGGAACACGGGTCCGATCCCTGCTCCGGAAAGATCCTCCATGCCGCGGAGCAACTGGGTCCATGCTCCACAACTGCCGAGCCTGTGCTCTGGGGCCCATACGCCACAACTCCTGAAGCCCGCGCGCCTAGAGCCCGTGCTCCGCAACAAGAGAAGCCATCGCAGTGAGAAGCCCGCACACCACAACGAAGAGTAGGCCCCACTCGCCTCGCCGCAACTAGACAAAGCCCGCATGCAGCAACGGGGACACAACACAGCCAATAAATGAATGAATGAAGAAAGAGAGAGAGAAAGGAAGGAAGGAAGGAAGGAAGGAAGGAACCTGTGCTGGCTTCTTACTAGTGCATCCTTTTAAAATTAGTAATGCAAAGGACTCTAAGAAGGGCAGCACAGCGTTCCTGTCGCCCATGAACTTAAGTCTCTCTGGGGAGACCCACAGGAAGGATAGATTCAGGTCATGACCCAGTCCAGTGTGCCACACACCTGCAAGAAGCACAGGTGCTCTAAGCCTGTCGCCAAGTTGAAGAGCCGTTTTCTAGCATCTGTAACCTTCCACCCCTGTCTTCTGCTTCTCTCTGACCCATGTGCCTGGGGCTGATTTCTAGGTCACTAAAGCCGGGAACTGGATGGATGTCTGTGACGGGTCTACCACTGTGATCCTCGGGGTGACCTCCTCGGTGCCCTCCTTGCCACTCCCCAACGTCCTCCTGATGGCCAATGTCACCTGGCCCCAGGGTCAGTTTTCCACCTGTAGCACACCTGATAGTGCCCCAGTCATCACCCTCAGCAGGTAAAGAAGGGCTTGAGGGAGGGGCCGGAAGGGGCAGGATGAATGACTGCGTTGTTTTGCAGCTGGACTTTACTTATTTATTTTTTTATTTTGTGGCCTTTGTGTTTGTTTGTTTTTTTTAGCAACATAATTTTCTTTTTTTAATTGGAGTAAAATTGCTTTACAATGTTGTGTTAGTTTTTGCTGGACTTTAGCTGAGAAGAAAGAACAGTGTTCTTTAGCTGATGAACTATATAGACTTCATTCATTCATTTGACAAGTATTTACTTAGTATCTATGTGTACCAAGCACTGTGTTTGGTGCTGTGGTAGAGCACCAATCCCTGTCTCGGCCTAGTTTTTGAGAATCTTAGCTTCCTTTTGCTTATTTTTTTTTTGTCAATATTGACTTAGAGGTTTTCAAAAAGAAAGGTGAGTGATATGATAGTCAAATAGGATTATGAGGTGTTGAGATTGAAAAAAAAATACTGGATGTATAGGAGACCTCTGTCCATTTTCTTAATCTTTCAGCACAGTTAATCAGGATCTAGGGAGGAGGAGACCTGAAAATAGAGCCAGAAAACCTTAGTTCCATTTCCTACTTAAGAAGATCTAAACTTGGGTAAATCACTTAGCTTCTCTGAGCCACAGTTTCAAATTCTGTAAAATGGAATTACTACTACTTATCTTTCCTTCATCAAAGGGTTGTTGTGAGGACTAAACGAGATATTATACATCGACTCTCAGCCATTGTTATTGGTGTGGGCAGATTCTTTAATAACTAAGGCCCTGGAAATCAGAGAAGAGTCGGTCTTAGTGATCATTCCCACTCTCAGACCCTGAGCTTTCTCCCTTGGGTGTCCCCCAAGCGGAGGTCAGCACCTAGTGAGGTTGACCCAAGCTCTAGGAAGGCACCAGCTTGGTTGATTAAAATCACTGATGCCTCTGCCATGGGAATTTCCTGATTGTGTCCAGGATTCTCCCACTGAAGTATGTGGAGCTACGAATCTGCGACCGGCTCCAACGCATCCTGAGGGTTAGGACAGTGACTGAAAAGATCTTCTACCTGAGGCTCCACGAAAAACACCCAGAGGCTGTGTTTCAATTCTGGATCCGCTTGGTGAAAATTCTGCGGAGAGGTCTGTCTATCACCACAAAAGACCCGAGAATCCAATTCTCTCACTGCCTGGTGCCCAAGTTGCCCTGCAGCTCCACCGAAACAGTAAGTTTCACCAAGATCCCGCCAAGAGATCTGTAGGGTCAGCTGGGAATCGGAAACATATCACCTCCCGAGAGTTGGTGGGTATTACAGTCTAGTGTTGTGTGGGGATGAGCAGACTTCTTTTTCAAGGGTCAATGATACACACACACCAAATTGAGGTCTACAGACATAAAAAGTAAATTAATTTTGTTTTCCAAAAAAAGAGCTATAAAGTACTTCATTCACTTAAAAATTGTTTGCTGTTTTTTGCTGGTTTTTTTTTTTTTCAGTGTTATAAAGGAATAATGCTCACTGAAGAAAATCAGAAAATTACAGAAAAATCACCCCTACTTCTCTCCAGCCCCAAGCAATCACTTGGAACATTTTGGCATATTTCCTTCTATTCTTTCATCTTAATTTTTAATTTATATATTTGAGGACATTAAATATATATACATTTCTGAATGTTGCTTTTTTTTCCAATTTAGATTATATCATAAGCATTTTCCCATTTCTTTCAGAAGCCCTTTATATACATCATTTTGGTAATTTCATGCTATTCAGTTGTATGAATGGGTTAAAATTTACTTCACCATTCCCCTAATATCATTCATTCAGAGTTGTTTAACATTCAGAGTTGTTTCTGACTTTTCGTTATTGTAACTGATGCTACAACAAGCATTTATGTATCGTCCACATTTCTGATTGTTTTCTCAGAATTGATTTTTAGAAGCAGAATTCAAAGGGTACAGACATTTTTAAGGCTCTTGATACATACTGCCAGATTATTTCCAGAAAGTTCCTACCAAGTTATACTCTCTCCAATAATAGGAGTGACTGTGTCACTGTATCCTTATCACAATTGAGAAGTATAAATTTTAATTTTCTAGTATGATAGGCTGAAAAAAAGTGGATTCTCTGATTTTTCAGTGAATCTGGACACTGACCTTTTTTTTTTGCATCGGCTCTTGTGTTCTTTGGCCATTTTTCTCTTGGCAACTTTGCATTTTTCTAAATTGATTCGTAAACCAGAGCTTTTTATATATCAGGATTTTTAAGCCTTTAATCTCAAGTTTTTGCAAATATTTCCCCTAAGGATTTGCTTTTCCCTTTTAGTTTATTTAAGGATTTCTTTTCTTTTCTTTTGACCCATAGAAGGCTTTCCCAGTACCTGCTTAGGGTAGAAGGTCAGGAAGGAAAAGTTTGATAGATTGGTTAACCTTAAACCTTCAGATTTTAGGATGGAAACACTTTCCCCGTCTCATGTAAGTGGCATACTTTAGGCACTCTATCACTGACTTTGAAAGTCAGCTCTGCTGCTCTGGTTCACAAGGTTCAGAGCCTGTGCTCTGGGCAGATAGCCACAGCAGCCCATCAGGGAGAGGAGGCGATCCTGCTAGGGCCCCATTTTTGGTCTCATGATTCGAGGGCTTGATGTTGAAGGAGCAGGTTCCCAGGACTAGGCTGGCAGACACAAGTGAGTTCCTTCAAGGTTATGGCCCGAGGAAGCCAAGGGCTGTCAGGGAGCAGACCTGGCCATCTGACTGCACATTTCTCCATGCAGTCTGGAAGCGGCCTCCTGTCATCCTGCCAGTCCAGTGAAAGCTCCATGAAAGCTCCTGGCAGCCGAGCAGACCAGTGACTGTTTCTCGAATCTCTCAGGAAGGTCCCAGCTCACAGCAGACAGGTGGGTCCTCCGCGCAAGCAGCGCTGGCATCCCTTCCCGCAGCACAGAGCCATGGTGCGGGGAGGGGCGGGGGGCGGGGGGCGGGGGCGGGGCGGCGGTCAGTGACACCCTCTGCCCACCCATCTCAGTTCCTTCTCTTCACTTTAGACCTTTGCATGTGACGTGTCCCCTTAATTTTATTATAAGCCTGTCCTTGGGAACAGGATCAGTGGCTGATTGATCTTAATAGTCCCTAGGTAAACCCTAGTGTTTTCATATGGAATGTGTTCAGTAAAAGGAGTGAGGGATGAATAAATTAATAAAGCATGCTCATGGAGTTATATATTGACTATCTCCAGTCCCAACTCGCAAGGGTCCCTTGGGTAAGACAATCCCAAGGCCTCCTTGCCTCACTTGTCTATTCTGTAAAATGGACAGAATAGACGTTAACCCACATGGGAGACCACTGCTGGCTCCGAAGTTTTACTAATCTACTAAGTCATTGCGTTAGATTCTTTCTGTAACAAGAGATAGAAAACCAAAGCAAGATTGTTCAGTCGATACATTGAAGAAGTACAACTTGTAGGGTATCATCAAAATGCAAAATTTTTTCCTTTCCTTTATAATTTTTTCAGCAGGAGAAGTTGTCTTCTTGCCCCTAGATAAAAGCTGGTCTCTGAGCAGGTCCCATAGCATATATGGGCTCCCTCTTAGAATATAAAAGAGTTCTTTGGTCCCTTTAAACTGCAAAAGCAGCATCAGTTCTGAAATTAAAACATCCAGTGCCTGAAAATTATCAAAACTCTAAAGTGATCACATCACCCCCCTTCAGTCAGCTTGGCCTCATATTAAGATGGCCCTTCATGTGGGGACTGGACCTTCGCTCCTCTCCTTCTGTTTCCTGATTTTAAAGCTGGCTTTTTCTCTTAGGAGCTTTCTCGGGTTCCTTGAAGTCCTCACCCCAGTGCAAGGCCCCCCGCTCAGGCCCTGGCTCTGCAGGCATCCATGCACTCAGGCACTAGCTGTCAGAGTCCCCTCACCTTTCAGGGAGTCCTTGCAGGTAGTGTCTACAGTGGCTCGAGGCGGGCTCTTTCTCTCCGGTACAGTTGACATCTTGTCCTCAGGAAATGTCCTCTCAGACTTTGACCAGCTACTGGAGGGAGGACTGTGCCTCCTAGACACAGAAGCAACTCCTCTTCACTCTGTCATCAAAGAAACCTGCTCTCCCGGTTCTGCCACCCTCCATTGCTTCCTGGGTGGGAGTTGTGCCCCGCCACCTACTGGGTCTCCCAGACCCCAGGGGCCATTGCTCAAGGTCTCTGGGTGTTCCCAGGAAGCCTCTGTGGTTCAGCTGGAGGGGAACGAAGGAGAAGCTCTATACAAAGGACTCTCCACACCTCCTCTCTCTCAATGCTTTCATAGCCTTGCTCTGGGGCAGGGTCCCAGCTGTGGTCATGCTGGGTCAGTTCTCCCAGGTCATGGTGTGCCTTTATATGTACTTTCCAGTCTTTTTTTTTTTCAACTTCAAGATAGTATTCTTGAATTCTAATGTAAAATTTTCCTCTTTGGGTACTCTTACTATCTGTATGTTGGATCATCTTTGCGTATCTAATTACCTGCCACTTTCTCTTTTTTATTCTTGAAACTCTCCTGCTTCTTCCCTTCTGTTTCTCTTAAGGCATTATCTGCTTCGTTTGTTTTTGGGTTCTTTCTGGCTTTAGGCTTCATTTAGGAAGTAATTTTTATTTCTTTAGAAATGTCTAATTCTTTCCTCAGTTTTATCACCACATTTGTAAATCTTTTATTTATATTTTGTATTTTTATTTTTTAGGCTGCACCACGCAGCTTGTGGGATCTTAGTTCCCCAACCAGGGATTGAAGCCGGCTCTCGACAGTGAGAGCACAGAGTCCTGAACACTGGCCCACCAGGGAATTCCTATAAATCTTTTAAATTCTGACTTAGTTGTTCTTTCATATGTTCTGTCCTTGTCTTAACTTCTTTTAGCTCATTTTGAAATGCTAGGTTGCACTTTTCATTTGTTTTGCAGGCACATCTTTTTAGTGTGCATTCATTGTCTGTAAGGATTTATGATGCTTCATAGCCTCTTTTCTTTTTTTTTTTTTTTAATTTTTGGCCGCCTTGGGCAGCATGCAGGATCTTAGTTCCCAACCAGGGATCGAACCCGCACCCTGCTGCATTGGCAGGCAGAGTCTTAACCACTGGACCGCTGGGGAAGTCCCAACCTTTCTTCCTTATATAATTTTGTGTTGCCTTGGATTATGATCTCTGATGTGAACGTTTTTCCTGAACCTTTGCGGGTGAGGGGCTGGTCAAGGCAGCTTTCTGGTTTGGGCTCCCGAGCTCCCTCTTGTGTCATTTTTGTGAAGTGTTTATGGCCTTGTATTTTTTACGATTCCAGGGCTGTGTTCCTCTCTCCTATCTTTCCCTGAACTTTCTCTTTTCTTTGCTTTTATTGTTCCTGTCCTACTCAATTTGGATTCCATTTCCAGTGGTTTTTCCTTGTTTGAGGACGCGTCCTGCAAGGGAGAGTGTTCTGGTGGTTTTGAGAGTTCTTAAGGCACATACTTCACCAGCCTCTTCAGACTGTACCATGGACCCCTTGCACTTACTTCCAGTTTCCTTCTTCTCAAATTGGCTGGCTGCACTTTCCACTGAGAAGCTGCGGGAGATATAGGAGCTCTCCTGTCTACAGGCACATCAGATGCCCTGTTGCTTCTCTCTGCTTCCTCTCACACAGATACTGACACCCTGTGGGCCCTGGAGCTGTCTGTAGCTGTAATATTTTATCTGAGCTTTTCTCAAACAGGCCTTTTTCTGTGGGACTCATGTTGGCCTAATTGGAGGGGCAAGGGTTAACCCCACTGTAAGTTTGATTCCATATCAGAGATATTACTGGCTCAGGAGAAAAAAAAAAGTTTTTTTAACGTAAGTTTTATTTATTTATTTATTTTTGCCTGTATTGGGTCTTCGTTGCTGTGCACGGGTTTCTCTAGTTGTGGAGAGCAGGGGTTACTCTTCACTGCAGTGCGCGGGCTTCTCATTGCAGTGGCTTCTCTTGTTGCCGAGCACGGGCTCTAGGCATGCGGCCTTCAGTAGTTGTGGCACACGGGCTCGGTAGTTGTGGCTCGTGGGCTCTAGAGCGCAGGCTCAGTAGTTGTGGCACACGGGCTTAGTTGCTCCGCGGCATCTTCCCAGACCAGCACTCGAACCTGTGCCCCCTGCATCGTCAGGCGGACTCTCAACCACTGCGCCACCAGGGAAGCCCCAAAAGTTTTTATATTAGTTTCTCAGCTTGGAAGTTCTTGTACCATATATCGTTTCAGACCTCAAACCAGTATTGGGACAGTCCCAAAGATAAGAATTTCCAGCAGAGACTTTTGTTTTGACCCAGAATCCAAGTTGATATAGATGAGCTTGTGGCACTGGATGGATTTCTTTCTGGTGTCCCAGATTTCTTTCTGGTGCCGAGAAGGTGGCTTTGAAAGTCCTGGACTTATGTAAATACCTCAGTTAATACCCTACCTAGCTCGGGCCCAAGACTTTACCTCCTGTGTCACGTGGCCATGGGTCACCAAGACTGGCCAGTCCCTCAGGCAGCCCCACTTTAGCTCATACTTCACTGATCTTTAATTTTGGTCCCTGGGATTTTTACTTTACTTTTTGTGAGTTTAACAATGCATTTAAAATTGTGTAGATCATATTTTATCCAGCATTTCTAGGTGTTTTGTGGCAAAGACATTTTTAGATATTAGGCCCTATTGCCAGTCTCTGCCTAAATAACCCTAAAATTAATTTCATTGGAAAAAACAAAACCTCACTGTACTTATTTCTGACTAGTAAGTGTGAGTGATTTTTATTTTCTTTTGGGTGCTTTTTTATAGGTTTTTTTTTCATTTAAAATAAGCATGTATTTCACTTAAAATCAAAATTTAAAAAAATTTTAGCCCAGTGTGTGTTTTTCTAGACACACAAGTGGTTGTGATTATTTTTTCAGTTGTTATTGTTTTGGAGAACTGTTTGAGGTTTTCTTTGCACTTATGCTGATAGCTGGCAGACTGTAGTGGGCATCAGGCAGGTCCCAGTGGGTTCAGGTCTTGCCTTTGACTCATAACATGTTACATTCTCAACACATGAAAGCAAGGCTTAAGATTTGGAGGGGTATCTGTTCCACTTCAGCAGAGATGCCTTCTCTCCAGCCTCCCTCCCGCTTGGCTTTCTCTGCTCAAGTTGCTTGTAGGTACCTCATGCCATAAATACGTGTTGTCACTGCCCATCATTTCCATATTTAGATCTAGGTTCAAGGCACTCATGCTGGAAAAGACGTAATTTTAAAAGTTTCAAAATTAGATTCTTAACAATGCTTTCTTTTTCTTCTATTGCTTTCAATGACCCCGATATCCTGGGCTACTCCAGAAACACTGATACCACCACTGAAATAGACAATTTCAACTGCTCTGACAAGACACCCTCTCCAGTGGCATCCCCTGTCAATTCGAATATACCCATGAGAGCCACCTTGAACCACAGTCTCTGGGAGCAAGAGAATCCAGTGGAGCACTTCCTGCAGGCTCCTGTAGCCGGTTCCCTAGGAGAGAACTTCCTGGGACCCTAACACCTAACCAAGACAGGGTCATCTTCCCAGGCTTCATTCAGTCCACTTGCTACAACCTTCTATAATGCTCTTTTCCTATTGTGGCCCAGAAGACCATGGGAAAGGTAAGATGGTGTTTATAACAAGGTGCTTCGGTACTTCCACCAATAAACCTCCAAGTGAGTCCCTAATTGTTATAGGTTGTGCTCTGGGGGGTGGAGGTGGGGAGGGGCTGGAGAAGGACTAATTAGGAGCAATAGCTCGCTCCTTGGGAAATAAATGGAAAAAACATTCTATTAGCTCAGTTGAAACTCCCAAACAGCCGAGCAAAGCCAAGAAAGCCAGTCCGGAGGAAAGGACCTGGGGAGCAATCCAACTTCCTCTTACAAAGGGATAGGGGGAAACAGAGACAGGGCTGCTACAAGCCCAAAGTGAAAGAATCCTGAGAATGATGGCGATCAACTAGGAGATGTTTTTGTGTTGCCCCACTTACCTCAAACAAGAACGTGAGTCTTCCTGCCCCATTCCCTGTGTTAAGGTAAAGCTATGAAAGGTCATCCTGGCCATGCAAACTTTGGTTGCTAATGAAGATGGGGCTTCTGTCAAGGAAGATGGTGACCCCCCATCACTGGAAGTCCTAATTGATTGACTCTTCCTACCCAGGACCTAATGAAACCCAAGTGGAAGACACAGTGTCTGTGTATATCAGGGATAGAACAGGACCCTTGACCAACCTCTGGACAAATGGGGAATACTGACTTGAGGAATACTACCACAGCATTCAGTAGGCATTTATCCAGCTCCTGCTAGGTGCCAGACACTGCACCAGTTGCTGGGTATATTAGAGAGAACAAGACAGATGGATATGATACTTGCCTGTAGGGAGCATATGGGAGAGATACTGAGCCCTGTTTTGGAGACACAGGAAAGCCATTTAGGTTGACATGATGTTTGAGCCACCTGGTCTGCAAGTCAAGGCTGGAGGACCTGCTTCCCTATAGTTCACACGTGGGTAATACAGTGATGGAAGGAGAAGGAACACGACTGCCCGCCCCTCGTGCACGCTCAGTTGGGCTGAGTGGTAAATCCTAGCTAGACTGGGTCAGAAAAGACTGAGCTGAGAGGATGCCTAGTGTTTGTTGATTTCTTCCTGCCTCCAATAAAAATTAAAACAACAAATTTCCTTTCAGCATGTTACAATCAAACAAGCTGAGCATTGTTGGTGCTGGTGAGGGACATCTAGAAGCAGAACTTAGAAAAGACTAATGTGAAGGGTGACCACCCTTCCCAATTTATGCCTGTTGTTCTAGTATCATTATTAATGTGTACGCATTCCACCCTCAAAAGTATCCCTAATATGATATGTTTACAAACATTCAGGTGATCTCCATCCTCATTTCTATTGCCTTGGTTTAAGCCTCCATCAACTCTCACCTAGATTATTGTGGTAACCCCAACTGATCTCCCAGATCTGTCATCATTGTAACAATAATAGCTAATTTCATTAGAAACTTACTATATGCCAAACACTATGCTAAGACTTTACAAAGAACACTTAAGCGACACACTCATTAGGATGTAGATAATCTATGATCACATTTTACAGATGATGAACCCGAGCCACAGAAAGGTTCAAGAACTTGCTTAAGGTCATATAGGGAGCGAGTAGCAGAACCGGGACCTGAACCCAGTCCGTCTAACTCTGAAGTTCATACTCTTATGAATTCGATTTTCTCCCAATCCATTTCCTATCTATACTTCTAAAAAGCCATCTTTCTGAAACATAAATCCATCACTTCACTCTTGATAAAAGCAAGGGTATCCCTTGCTTTTTGTATCCCTTTGATAAACAATGGCCAGGCCTCTCTCTCCAGCCTCTCCACTGGCCACTGCTGCCCTTGAACCTCATGCTTCCACCATGCCAGATTTCTTGTGATTTCTGTAATACACCATGTGTTTAGATAGTGCAAGGATGTGGCACATCCTTCACTCTATTCAAATACCTGTCCTTGCATTTTCTACCTGTTGCTCTCATGATACTTGTCCTTACTGAGGGAGTTGTTCTATGCTACCATTGTGCCCTGCGTGTATCCAGTTTACAGCATTTCTCACACTACTGTAGTTGCTTGCCTGTCTGTTTCCTTGGTGGGACTATGAGAAGAGATACCATTTTATATTAAAGTTTCCTGATTGCCAGTAAGAGAAGCTGACTCTAATTTAAACCAAAAGGAATTTATTGGAAAAATATGAGTTGGCTCACGGCCTCAAAGGGACAGCTGAAAAGTCAGTCTTGGAATGCACTGACACCAGAACACCTCTGGGGATTCAGGTAAGGATGGCTAATTGAACATTTCATCAAATGCTGCAGCAGGCTGGGTGGTTTCCCCAAAGGAAATTGGGGGCTGTTAGAAAAGAACAATTAGGGGAATGGATGTCTCATGGCTGATAATAACAAATGTCTACCACAGTCTGACTTTGTGTTCAGAGAGGCACTCTGCCATGGCCTCAAGCATCTCTGTATATCCTTGCTGAGGAAGCCAGATTTCAAGGCCTAGCTGTCCTCTGACCTTGAGCCATTTGTGTAGCTAGTCACATAGGCAGTTACATAGATCAAGGTGACTAACACATGACTACCTTACGATGACTTGCTCTTGGGGAAGGACACTGGTTTGGTTACTGTTGAGTTACTGTTTGCTGAGCCCTTAGACCTGGGTTCCTCAGCTGCAGTGTAATCCACTGCAGGCATAACCCTCACCTGGGCCCGTCATGTTGCCCTGTGGGGATTGGGGGCCTGGCACTGCCATGCTGATGCTCCTGCTGTTTGCTGTGCTGTTATAACAAACTGTCTTGCTTTGATCCATTGACTCCTTTTTTTTTTTTTTGGCTGCATTAGGTCTTTGTTGCTGTGCGCGGGCTTTCTCTAGTTGTGGCGAGCGGGGGCTACTCTTCGTTGCGGTGCACAGGCTTCTCATTGCGGTGGTTTCTCTTGTTGTGGAGCACGGGCTCTAGGTGAGCAGGCTTCAGTAGTTGCAGCACGCAGGCTCAGTAATTGTGGCACACGGGCCCTAGAGCCACAGGCTTCAGAGTTGTGGCACGTGGGCTCAGTAATTGTGGCATACAGGCTTGGTTGCTGTGCAGCATGGGGGATCTTCCCGGACCAGGGATCGAACCCTTGTCCCCTGCATTAGAAGGTGGATTCTTAACCACTGCGCCACCAGGGAGTCCCGATCTATTGACTCTTGCTGTCTACTTTGGGCAACTTTGAGCTTTTGGTAAGTCCATCTGATTGCTTCCTTAGTCGTTTTCTTTGGAGTCATTTTTTTGTTTCTCCTTGCCATCCTCTGTGAGACCTGGGTTCTTCTCTGATACTGTCCAAACCCCTCGTATACACTCTTATTCTATAATTATTTTCAGTATTAAAAATAATCTTCAACTAACATAATGCCTGTGTTTGGGGTGGGGTGGGGGAATCTCTCTTTATAGGGAAAACCCAAAGCCTCCTCAATTACTGCATCCATTTCCAAATTTGGGTTCACTGGGCAATGTCTATTCTTCCCCTGGTTTGTTTCTATCTTGCCTTTATATTCCAAAAATTCTATATCAAATGGTAAATTGAAATGCTCCAAATACACCCTATGTATAATAATGAGAGAAGGAATAACATAAATTATATATTTCACCACAAAGAAAGAAATACAGGTGGAAGTTCTTGTTTCTGCATCTTGGTAACCAGGCAGTAGCTAGTATTTATGACCTTCCATTTCAGGTATATCTCGCTTTAACGAGCACCTCAGCCGATCGGGATTCTTCTCTTAGCAGGGAGACCACAAAAACTTAATTCCTGAAAAACCTAAGCCCTCGCTGGTCTTGCTGTGTAGGGTCACGTGCTCTTCTGTTAACTGAGCAGGTCTGTAAAGAGGCATTTCAAGGAACATCTGGCTTCCACTCCTACTCCTTGCTGCCCGTATCGTGTAGAAGCAACACTTTTTGCCTTTGATAGTGAGTCAGTGCTCTCAAACAACTCCAGAACCCCCTTTTATACATAATCGCCATGTTCCCCTAACGGCAAGAGGAGCCCAAAATAGTAGCATCAGGCTCAGTTTTCAATCAGTGGAATGATTTTTGTGCCTCTGGTGCAATCATTTCCATCCTTAGGTATAAAAATCTCCAAACTTTGGACCTGAAACTTACGAACATTTTCCATACAGCTCTTTCTTTGGAAACTTCCGCAGGATGCACTCCATTAAAATTCCTCAGAAGGAGGAAAACATGGACCCAGGTAAGGGTTGGGTTCAATGTGGGAGAGAAGTGAAGGAAATCCAAGATGTCGATGAAGGGAGAGCCTGGAATGACAGCAGAGCAGTTGGTTGTTATTGGAACTAAATGTGCCTAAATGTGTCTCCACACAGGTCACACTGGTGGAATACCTGATGTGCTTGAATGTAATGAGAGGAGGTTTACACATATGGCAGAGTTTAGGGGTATATTAAGAATAGTATATAAAACCAAGCAACCAAAACGATGCTATAATTATTAACTCCAAGAAGAAAAATTGTACTGAAAAGAAGTATAATTCAAGTATATGCTTTGTCTGTGACTATTCATAATACTATGTACATTTAGATAGAATATAGATTTAATCAAAGATAGCAAGAGCTGTATTTGGAGGATGAGTGAAAGGCAATTGTGTGGAGGTTGGGGGGAAGGTGTGGGAGAGGAGGGAGGTGATAAAGAGGACATCTTCATCTTTTATAGTTGGAAGTCAGTAGCTAATACCCAAAACTCAAAAATCAAGAAGTAACAATGTAAGTGTGTTTTTGAGAGATCCGAGGATAACTATTCAAAGAAATACCTAAAAGAGTTTATTTATTTCTGAGAAATGAATGAGGCAATGGAGGGTATGTGGACAAGTGACTGCTTTTTTTTTTTTTTTTTTGGCTGTGTGACATGTGGGACCTTAGTTCCCCCACCAGGGTTCGAAACCACACCCCTGCAGTGGAAGCATGGAGTCTTAACCACCGGACTGCCAAGGAAGTCCTGTGACTGCTGTTTTTGATAACAGGCCTTGATTTGACTTTGTATACCATGTTCATGTAAAATGCTGATGAAAATAATTTAAAAATGAAGATCAAATAGAAATTATGCAGGAGAAACTTGCATCTTGCTATGCAGTTGATGAACAGAAGTATTGGCTGTACAGCTGAG